ATTTTATATACAGTCACTGAGATACAGTGATAGGGAGTGAAAGGGAAAAAATCAGATCGTTCAAAACTCTCTCTGACCGCTGCTCTATGCTATCAATGAATAGTTTTATAAATCCCATGATTAAATTATGAAGTAAACACAATTTTTAGTATTCTTAGAATTTCTTTTTTTGTTTTTGTTGTTTACTGAGAGCCTGAAAAGTTGGAGTGGCCTGCGCATGTTGAAGATTCTGAAGATAACTGTCACGTTATCCTTCAAAAGTGATAGTTTGGGGCAGGTGTCTGGTCCAGCGATGTAAAGGCTGCTTAGGACAGCCACACCCCCCAGTAGAGGGCCTGGGTTCAAGGCCTGGCTCCGTCCAATGCCAACTTCCTGCTAATGCACACCCTGGGAGGCAGCTGGTGATGGCTCAGGCATTTGCGTTCCTGCCACCCGCAGGGGGGAGCTGGATGGATGGAGTTCCCAGCTCCTAATTTTGGCCTTGCCCTAGCCACACCTGTTACAGGCATTTAAGGAATGAACCAGCAAATCAAAGATCTCTGTCTACCTCTTTGTGTGTGTATATATGTCAAATAAATAGTTACAAAAGTGATGGTTTTAAATATATGCCTAAAACTAGTAGACTGTTAATAGTAACTGCAGTATAAGCACCTGACAAACTACTGTCTAGCGGCCTTAGGGTTTATGCTGTTACGAAACCAGTGGTTGGAAAATCAGAAGCTTCTAGAACTGAGATTCACAACAGCACCTGCAAATTGGACTCCCCTGCATGTGCCCAGACCCTATTCAAGAGCACCAGAATTAGACTGTTCGGGGCTGGGGAGATGCCCTTGTTTGCAGAGCTGTGGACCCCTCTTGCTGCCTGCATTGCCTGTCCTCATGGCTCTAGGTCTTGACGTTCAAGCTGGCTCCCATGAGGTGAGGGGGAAGGATTACTCTGGGATAATGTGTTACAAGTACCTCACAAATACTTTGGAAAAGAAGTTTGAGAACACAGCCAACAGATGAAAGAATTTTCTTTAAAAAAAAGTGTGTTTATTTATTTATTCAAGAGGTAGATAGAGAGTGGGAGAGGAAATGGCAACTCAAGAACCAGAACTGGGTAGGCAACCCAGTCACTGTGATGCGGAAAAAAGAAGCCCAAACGTGCAGCTTTGCTGCTGGCCCAGTGCCTGTGCCCCAATCCACAGTTCTTTATAGGGCAGGAGTGTGGGGGAGAACTTCTCACACACAACTTCTGACCAAAATGCCTTCAATTGTTTCTCAAAGTTTGTGCCATGGTTTGCTCCGTGAAAGTAGACAAGTGTCGAGTCAACAACATGAAGTTCAAGTCTCAGTTCTTGTAAATAATGTCAAGGCCAAGTTTCTGCAACCAGTGAAACCGCAACTAGTCTACAGGGCCAGATGTTTAGCTTCCTCCCCTTCTCCATACTAAGGAAAATATGGGGAAACAATTGGTGCACAACAGAGCGAGAAGGAGATTTCAGGCTATGGACCGAGCTCAGCAGCACGAGGCCTTCTCTCCGGCGCCTTCAGTGTATCTGTCTTTGTTGTGTGATTACTGAGGTGTTAGAGATGACCCCGGGAAAATTCCTCAGCCACAAAATAAGGAATTATTTGTGTCCCTCTAAGGGGATTTGGGGGAGCGGACGGGAACTGAAGATTCAGGGTTCTTTAAAAAAGGAGAGGGGCTGGTATTGTGGTGTAGCGGGTAAAGCCCCTTGCAACACTGGTACAGCAAAGCCAACATCACAAAGCATAGGGATGTAGTTCCAGTCCTGACTGTTACACTTTCAGTCCATCTCTCCTTGTTAACGCACCCAGGAAAACAGTGAAAGATGACCCAAAGACTTGGGCCCCTGCACCCGCATGGGAGACCTGGATAGAGCTCCTGGCTCCTAGATCGGGCCTGGCTTAGTCCTGGCTGTTGTGGTTATTTGGGGGGCGTGAACCAGCAGATGCAAGTGCCCTGTCTCTCTCTTCCTCAGTCTCTGTGACTCTTTTGAGGAAAAAGAAAAAAAAAAAAAAAAGAATCAGGGCATGGCCCTTCCTTGTCCACCAAACCCCCAGTTCAGCCTGGCTCACAGCTCACATCTGGGGATGGAAGAAGTTATTCTTCCACTGCTTTTCCCAAAAGTACAAGAAGAGAATGGAGGCCCCTGGACTGAAGTTACGTTTCTCTTTTGAGGAGGTATAACCAGAATAGTTAGACATGACTCAAAATCAGAATAGTCACGTTCCAAAGGTCTGTGGTTTGGTTCCTATCCATAAAGTATAGGGAAAAAGATGAGGATTTAATTCTGCTGCAAAAATAATATGGCTGTTAAGACTTTCCAAATTGGGGGGTGGGGGATGGATGTCTGGAGGAGCATGCAGATGCCCACAGGGCCTGAATTCGAGTTGAGGTTCCACTTCCCATTCCAGCTTTTCTGGTCACATGCATTGCTTAAAGACAGGTGATCCTGTGAGAGAGCAAGGTCGAGCGCCTGGCCCCAGGGTTTAGCCTGACCCAGCCTTGGCTGTCGTATTTAGAAGCTGAACCAGTAAGATGGGAGATCCCTGTGTGTGTCTCCATCTCTCTGCCTTTCAAATAAATCAAAAGGAAACAAAAGATTTCCAAATGAACCAGAGAAAGCCATGTAAGTGAAATACCCATCTGGCCATCCTCACCTGAAAGCGAGAGTGTTAGGAGAAGGGGGTTGGACCTGGGGCCCAGAGGTAGAACTGAGTCACCAAGCTGGACTCCGGCCCCCTGGGAATGCCCCAGGGATTACTTTGTTCCATGAGATCCGGGCTGTGGCCAGTCCCGAGCTATCCAGACACTTGTCCTTCAGCCCGGGCCTCGCTAATTGGTCAATGGAATCCATTTGTGTAATGGTCCCACAGGGTACAACCACTGCATCAAATGAACACCGTGTCCCTGCTGCTGTTGAACGTGTATAATTAGCTCCCTGGGCAGCCTGACCCGGCCTCGGCTTCTGACGCACTTGGTCTGTATCAAGCCCTTTCTAAGACCTCCGACCTCGTCCTCACAGCTGGAGATGCCCGAACCCGCACGCAGCACATCCCGTGGGCGTGGCCTTGCATTCTTAAAGCTGCACGGGGTCGGTTCCACCACTCACAGACTCCTGAAGCATTTTTTTTTTAAAAACACAGGCGTGGAGCATGAGTGGCTACATCAGATAGCAGAGGACCGGCCACCTCCGCCCTTGGCTTTTTCAAAAAAAAACAAAAAAACAAAAAACAAAAAAACCCCAAACGGTTTTGTAACTGTGACTTCTCAAAAAAAAAAAAAAACACTATAATTGGTCAGCCTGAGGTGCCTTCTCAGCCCCTCAGATGGCGTCATGAGCTATTCTCAGGAGAGGAAAGGCAGGGTGTCCCCCCCACCCCCTGGGAGAATGAGCACACGTGTTTCAAGTGGGGGAAGCGCCCAGGGTTCTCTTCCTGCGCTTGGGGAGGGAGTGCCAGTGAACACAATGTCCGTTTCCTAACTACGGGATGTGCTGTACTGGCAGGTCATTTTCCACCGTGTCACATCCTTCTGGATGGAGGCAGCAGGGGCCAGGACAGGAAACAGCAAATTCTCAGAATGAGACAAGGCTTTCCCAGGGCTGCTATTGGCTCTGGGGAACTATAAAGCTCACCCTTCCAGAAACAGCCCGGGATTTCTCTTTCCTAGAGGCGATCAGAAGCGAGGGTAAGTGGGGAGCCCCTGCTGGCTGTGGGGAGACAGGTGCAAAGCAGCAGGACTGGCCGTGCTGGGGGTCACATACATGATCCATTAGGCTTTGGTTGGGGGGGCGGTCAATGAGATGACTTCCTGTCATTTTGCCTGGAATAAGGGAATGGGCCAATGGAGACCTGTGTGTGCGGAGACCGGCTTCTGGGTGCCGGGAAGTCAGCAGCCCCCGGACCTGGGCTCTTGGGTGTTCTCCTCAGCCAGGTGCCAGGTCTCAGAGTTTTGGAACATTCTGTCTCTGTGTCTAATCTGCCATGAGAAATTCCTAAGGTGGATGGTGGGGCTGAAGGTGAGACTCCCTGGCAGAACCCGCGGGCTTTCGCCTCAGCATGCAGTGTTCTTTTCTTTTAAAGATTTATTTATATCAGAATGTGTACTTACAGAAAGAAGAAGAGACAGAAAGCTCTTCCATCTGCTGGTTCACTCCCCAAGTGTGATGAGCAGATCCGAAGCCAGGAGCTAGAAGCCTCTTCTGATCTCCCACGTGGGCTTGCAGGGTCCCAAGGACTTAGGCTATTCACTTTTGCTTTCCCAGGATACAAGCAGGGAACTGGGAAGGAAATGGAGCAGCCGGGACATGAACCGGTGCCCGCATGGGATGCTGGCACTTGGAAGTGGAGGGTTAGCCTGTTGAGCCCCCAGTACCAGCCCCTGTAGTGTTTTTCTGTGTGAACCATCTTCTTCCTGGTCTCACAGTGCAAAGTGGCCCTCACTGAGTAAGCCACTCCTATTTCACTGTCAGCCTTTTTTTTTTTTTCTTTAGAGGAAGCCCTCATAATGGAGAGTGGTATCAACATAGTTTTAATTAAACCCTTACTAAACACTGATTAATTTTCTGAAGACCAGATGAACTCTCTTGGAATCAGCCACACCTTAGACTCGATTCTAAGAGCCTGGATGAATATGTAGCAAAGAATTACGCTGAGGGAAGGTTGGACTTCGGTTTCTTACAGATGGTGTGGCTTTTAAGGTTTTGGTGACTTGATATTGCTGTGTATAAGAGAAATGGAAGGGATGGGAGAGAGAGGAGAGGTTATAGGAAGGGGGGAAAGAAGAGAGAGAGAGAGAAATTGTTTCACAGCTCCCAGGGCCCTGGTCTTTATATGATGAAAGTGCTTCCTAAACTATACAATCCACCACGTGCAATGCGTGTTCCAGCAGAGCTAAGGCCAGGCTTAGCTCTTGTCGAACAGTTGAGCAAGTCCCTCCCCAGGGCTCTCTGGGAGAGAAGCTCAAAGTGACCTTTTCTCATTGGCAGATGCGGTCGCGAGGGCTCGAGAACCTGCCACTGGTCACAGATTCCAGCGTTGGCCTCTGTGGACTTGACACGCACGACTCTCCAGGAGACTGGCCGCTTTCCCCCACTCCTCGGACCGGCGTAGCAGTAGCCGCTACGCTTGAACTTGAGACGCCCTCCCCGCAGCGCGCGCACGAGAGCCGCGGCGGGCGCCGGCAGCCGTGGGCTGAAGGAGCGCCTGTGCACCTGCGGGCCGTGCAGACTATGCAGACTCTGGCGGCCGGGGAGCCGCGGGGCCCTGACGCACTGCGGAGCTTCCAGGGGCTGCTGCTGGACCGGCGCGGCCGGTTGCACGGAGAGCTGCTGCGCCTTCGCGAGGTGGCACGGCGCCTCGAACGCTTCCGCCGGCGCTCCCAGGCGGCCAACGTGGCGGGCAGCTCGCTGAGCGCAGCCGGCGCCGTGGCCGCCATCGTGGGGCTCTCCCTGAGCCCCGTCACGCTGGGTGCCTCGCTCCTGGCATCGGCCCTGGGGCTTGGGGTGGCCACCGCCGGAGGGGCCGTGACCATCACATCCGATGTCTCCCTAATCTTCTGCAACTCCCGGGAGCTGCGGAAGGTGCAGGAGATTGCGGCCACGTGCCAGGACCAGATGCGGGAGATGCTGAGCTGCCTAGACTACTTCTGCCGCTGCCAGGGTCACGGCGATGTCCAGCTGTTGCAAAGCGGGAGGAGTGCTTCCATGGCCCTGTACAACTGCGTCTATTTTATCGTCTTCTTCAGCTCCCGTGGCTTCCTCGTCCCCAGGCGGGCAGAAGGGGCCACCAGGGTCAGCCAGGCCGTGCTGAAGGCCAAGATTCAGAAACTGGCCGAGAGCCTCGAGTCTTGCACGGGGGCCCTGGACGAACTCAGTGAGCAACTGGAGGCCCGGGTCCGGCTTTGCACCAAGGCGGGCCTCAGCCATGATCTCAGGAGCCCAGATGCACCGCCCGCTGGGCTGTTGTTCTGAGATGTCCTTCCCCCGTCCATGACTGTCCTCATGGGATGCTCCAAATCTGTAGCTTTCCCCCAGGGCAACTCTGAGTCGGACAGACACAAAGGAAGAGAAAAGCTGTTCCAAGTGGTCAGGTGGTCCCCACAGCCCCTTCCCCATCCATGTGACATGCTACCTGGACCTAAGGGCTGGGGTCTTTGGCATGATCCTAGTGGAGTAGCTGACCCTGTTTTCGTTCATGAGAAGTTTTTTTGTTTTTTGTTTTTGTTTTGTTTTGTTTTTTTGTCAGCAGCAGTGGAACAGACACTCCTAAAGTTATTTGTTGGGGCTTTGGAGGGAAGGCAAGCGCTCACTCTTTTGGTGGTGTTTGTGTTTAAATTTTTTTTTAGTTCTTATTTATTTGAAAGGGAGAGAGGAAAGAGAGAACGATCTTTTGGCTGCCAGTTCACTCTCCAAGTGCCTGGTCAAGTCAGGGCTGGGTCAGGCCAAGCCAAGTAGCCTAGAAATCAAACTGGGTTTTCCATCTGGGTGGCAGGGACTCGAGGACTCGGAGCATTACCTGCTGCCCGCCAGGATGTGCTGTAGCAGCATGCTGCATGCCAACAGCTGGGCCTGGGACCCAGGCACCTGCTAGGCATGAGAGGGTCTTACCTGAGACTGGTGAGGGTAACACCCTCTGTGTCCTCTCCAAGCTCTGCTAGGCCACTCAAGGAGTCACCTGTTTTTAAAGCTCTCTTCTAGGGTTTCTGACGGCAAGGGATTTCAGAAGCCAGGGCGAATCCACACTTGATGAGAGTTCTTAGGAAGACTCAGGACCCAGAGAGGGACCGGGAACTGACATGCCCTGCTCTTCCCTCTGTCCGCCTGGAGATGGCGTAGCTCCGCAGGCAGACCTGCAAGTGCTCTGAGAGAGGAGGCCAATGGAATAGCCTGTACGCCCTGACCCTTGAAGGGAGAGAGCGAAGCCAGCAAAGGGCAGGTGATCGACCCCTTTGATTCCTGCATGCAGGGCAGGGAAGGTGGCCGTGGCCTTTGATCAAACACTCCGGGTTTATGACGGGCTTCGACCGTGATGGCCTTGGCCACTTCGCCTCCCTCAGACCTTCTTCCTGTTCTGTCACGCATGGCGTATGCAACCTCGCTCAGTTGTGGGGAACTGAACACAACGCCTGGCTCACGAAATGCGGGCTTTGGTTGGCAAAGACGCCTCACCTGAGAAGTTGTGAGAAAGGCAAATTTCTAGGCTTCACCTTGCTGTATGAATCAGAAACTCCGAAGAAGGGGCTGAGCCGGGACAGTGTGACGGAAGCCCCCTGGGGTGATCCTGACCCAGGCTGTGGCTTTGAAGCCACTGTGTTAAATGCCGATCTCTCCCACAAAGTCTCCTGGCCTTTCTGGAGACTCCATGGCCTTCAGGGTCAGGGGCAGAATGTGTGGGTGTGTGCAGAAACCCCAGGTCACCACACTTGCTTGCGGTTTCTCATTCTAAAAGCTGAGGGATGTTAGCATGTAAACTCGCTAGAGGGCAGTGTTGCTCACTCATTGTAGAAACTGGTACAGCAAGGAATGTGAATTTTCTGGAAACTGACCAATCTCTATTAATTTCTCTGAAAGCCACCGGGTCACATATTTTTTTTTAATTTATTTTCAGTTTGTTATTTAATTTCTATGTATTATTTGCTTGTAATTTTATTTAATTGCTACATTTAGAAAGTCATTAGCAAATTTCTGAATGGGAGTCTTCAAGAGTTTCATGAGGTTGGGCTTTCGAAGGCAGGACATGAGCTGGACATGTCATGGGGCTCTCTGAAGAAGTCTTCCTTCGGAGGTAGTTGCAAATTCTCAAAAGATCAGGAGCCGAGTGTAAGATTGTCAATGGAGTCTGCAAGTGTGGGGTAGATACGTGACAATGCGTGTCTATCTAAAGGTACCTTGCCAGAAGATAACACTTGACCAGGAAAGGGAACCTATTTTCATTTAGGAGAAAAAAAAAATAAAAAGAACCTATGAAGGCAGCACTTAGATTTTGGGAACCTGATGTCTTATGAAGTCACATCTTCACATGTGATGGACAAACAGCTTGTGTTGTGGTGGGGGTGTGCCATGTTTTCATTTCGGGGACCGCAGGAAACTTACCAAGTGTGTCCACACAAATGCTTAGTGCTTCAATAGCCATGCCGATTACTGTAATGTTGAGAAACATGTGGAAACTTCTTTGGGAGCACACCTTCTCAATTTGGTTGTGTTGTTTAAGCGTGGGACGTGCCATGCACTTGCCCATCCCGCACCCCACCCCTCCACACACACTATTTTTTTGGGAGGGGAGGACAGTGTGTCTGAGGAGCTCTATTTTTGCACTAGAGGTGAGGACTGACAGTCAGTGTTATCTTTGTTTTTCCTGTGAATTGTAATCCGTCTTCATCTTGGTTTATTTTGGAAGTTGCTGTTGGTTTAGATTGAGCTGGTATCATTTTCTTGAGTGGCTTGCATAGGTGTTAGCATTTTAGACCTTCAGAATGTACTTCGCGTTATGGTTTGTGTTTTATCGCAAAGGTACAATCATTCCCTAACTCCATCTTTTATTATTGAATTATAGTCTTCTGATACCTGACCTATTCCCTAAAAATAAACTGGGTATTTCCCAAAGCAGCGACAAGCTATCATTAGGCTGTCAGAGGGAATGGAAGTCCTGAATTTCTGAGGTTATTACTTTAGTAGCCCGTTTTAATTCCACAGGATGGTGGCTATTTGGAAATAATACTTTGCACATAAAAATAGTTCAATATGTGCATCTGACGATTAGCCACTTAACTATGTTGATAGGAATTTGTTGGCAGAGACGGACCATCCACTCTTGGGTTTCTCCGATGAAGACTGGAGCTTCCGGCAGGATTTAGGCGGGTGTAACTTATCTTCACCCCAGAGACAAATTGCTACTTCTGTCTTCTATGGGAATGTGAGCAGGCTTCTTCCTTTAAGCTTTCATTGCACAAACAGGTTGAAATGGCATGTGGTAAAGGGGAGGAGGGAGAGGAGGATTTTGATTCTAAGTGTGCTTCACAAAAATGTCAGAGCTTCAAATAAATATGTTTGTATTAAACACTGAAGTATTGCTCCGTTATTTTGGGAGGGTTCATATTGGTTGAACAGTTTGATTTCACAGGAAAGAAGATCCATTTGGTTATGCATTTCAAGAATTGATTAGAAATAGATCCTGCTCCATTAAACATATATATATATATCAGCTTATTTATATATATATATAAAATAAGCTTTCTGATCTTGTTTTTATTGTACTTATCCTGAGAGAGAGAGAGAGAGAAACTTCTGTCTGGTGATCTCCTTCCCAAATGCCTGCAGTGGCCAAGTTAGGCCAGGCCAAAGCCGGGATCAATGCTAATCTCTGAACTAGGTGGCAGAAACTCAAGCACTTGAGCCATTCCTGCAGCATTCTGGATTCTGCAGGAAGTGGGAAGGGGAGTTAGAGCTGGGAACTGAACCTAAAAACCCTCATATGGGACGCCTATGGCATTGCAATCCTATGGTGACTGGTCCTTTCAGGGAGTGCACAGTCAGCTTATAATACTTTTGATTCAATAGCCTGGATATGAAAAGGAAGTGGAGGCAATTTAGACATTGAGCTAAAGGCATTGGGTGGAGGTAAAGGGAGATACAGTTAAATGTAGCAATTTTTATGCTTATTTTTTCCTACTGTGCTAAAATTAGCTTTTTCTTTATTGAAACAAGTTGCTCATTCTTCAAACTTTTTGATCTTTTAAAAATGAGTTACATAGTGTCTGTTCATGTTTGCCTTGAGATGAATCATAACTATGGAGCGGCTATGTTTAGCCCTTTTCACTTAACCTCAAACTATAGGAATCCTTTTTTTTTTTGGATTTATTATTTTCATTATTATTTAGCAGATTCAGTGTGACGAATCCATTTTTAAAAAGTAATCAGTTGCGCCTGTCACAGTAGCCTAATGGCTGAAGTCCTTGCCTTCCATGCGCTGGGATCCCATATCCCATCATGGCTAACGTATACCTGAGGGCCACATTTTTGTCATGGAGGAGGGAGGGTGCTGGCGGGGAGGGTGCTCATACAGTAATCCCATGTCCTAAAGACCCATAGATGGAATGGACCAAGGAGTACCAAGAACCAAATAACATGCTTGATGAAGTTGGCTTTCCTGACCCGTACCACCCCAGCCACGCCACACTGCCCTGAGCCACTTCCTGGGGTGGTTATCCACGTTGACCGTGGCCTCAGCCAGTAAATGACCACACGCCCAGATTGCTGGTCAGATTCAGAAACTCCCTGTGAACCATGGAATTAGTTGATAAACAGGCTCTGGGACTTATTCATGCAAAACACACTCATAGGAGAATAATCCGCAAACCTACTTCACTCATTCAGGGAACAAGCAGTTACTGAAAGCCTCTTTGCCACTGGGCTCTGGGACTCGAAGGCAGAGCTGCCCAGCCACAGTGCCTGTGCCTACTGTGCTTGCTGTAGGGTGGGAGAGTAGACCATAATGGTGGTCGTTTTGGCTACCGCTGACTCCCTTTTGACTACCGTGGTGGTGATCAAGAGGGAGAAGGGGGGACTTCGGATTGCAACTTGCTCGTGTGGCACAGACAGGAAAGAAAGAGGCCAGGAGACGAAGATGAAGAAAGAAGTGCTAAGAAGATATCTAAATGGTGTAGCTAAAACATATTTTATAAAGCTCATTTATGGCAATGCTTTGGCCTAGCTGGGTAAGTGTTTCTGGCTTCCTGTGAATGCATACCCTGGGGTGACAACAGGTGGTGACTCAAATCCTTGGGTCCCTGCCACTTGCATGGGAGGACTGGATTGGGTTCAGGGCTCCTGGCCTCAGGCTGACTGCCTCCTGGCCATTGTGGCCATTCGGAGAGCGAAGCAGTGGACAGGAGATCTCTTTCTTGTCTGACCATCTAACTTTCAGATGAATAGATTTAGAAAGATATTCTATTCTCTGGTTCACTGCTCAGAAGGCCTGAATAACTAGCACTGAACCGGCTGAATCCAGGCTCCTAGAAGTCCATCTGAATCTCATGTATGG